CATCGATGAATTACACATTATTATAAACATGTTTATTAGTTTTTAGCACCACACATTTGGTGAATTTACAGTGTGTTTTGTTATCTGCTTAAAGTGTTACTAAACCTACAACAGTAAAATCAGTCTGTATATGCAGTAAAGCATGCTTGTTATACTCACTGTGCAAACTAAGGGGTTAATCCTCTGCATTGTGTAAAAAGGCTGTTTGATCCTGACCTCTCTGATCCTCCTCTTCCTCCAGTGTCCTCCTCTTATCGCTTGATAAGACATATTGTGTGGAGACACTGCGGATGCTTTTTTTTCTTGGGAGAGTGCATGTGATCAGCACAGGGCCAATGAGCACTGCACAGACAGAAGTCAGGGGTTCTGCATCCTCCTAGAAAAAACTCCTCCTGCAAGCTTTAACCAGTAATCTGCCAAACACTGATAGAAGCCACAAGACTGCTCTAACTGCTGATGAGAAAAGGTTTTCAGCAGTTTATATTTACTAAAATAATTGCATTTTCATGTTCTGTGTACTGTGGGAGACCAGATATAGTGAATGCAGGGTCCTGGGTTTAGTAACACTTTAAGCGACTGGTCTTGTGTAATGACTTTTGTTATGCTTGAAGACTATGAGGACCCCCTGCTATTGGCTATTCTGATAGCCAATAGGCAGCATCCAGATCACCTGGAAGCAATGTGGGTACCACAAAAGAGACCCTCCTATGCTACAGAGCAGAGGATACAAGACTTGGGACCCCAATTGTCACATGACAGTTTAAGGAAACTAATCAGGGCATTTTAGTAGTTATTTCACAGTAAAAATATAGATATGGCACATGGGATTTGGTAAAGGGTATATTGTTTTTGTTTCTGGAGATCAGCTTTAACCACTTGCCCTTCAGAGGATTTACCCCCCCCCCCCTTCCTGACCAGACCATTATTACGGCGCTGCGTTATTTTAACTGACAATCGCGCGCTCATGCAATGTTGTACATAGATGAAATTTCTGTCCTTTTTTCCCACAAACAGAGATTTCTTTCGGTGGTATTTGATCACATGTGTATTTTGCATTTTTTTTGCGCTATAAACAAAAAAAGACTGACAATTTTGAAAAAAACAAAACCAATATGTTTGACTTTTTGCTATAAAACATCCATTAAAAAAGTTTAAAAAAAACAAATTTCTTCATAAATTTAGGCCAAAATGTATTCTGCTACATGTCTTTGCTAAAAGAAATCCCAGTACATGTAAATTAATTGGTTTAAGTGACAGGTATAGCGTCTACAAATGGCAGTATATATTATGCAATTTTTTTGGCAGGGATCGGCGATTTTATAGCAGGTCTGCGGGACCGCAGTGGGCATTCTGACACTAATACAGTAAGCAGTGCTAATAAAAAGCACTGACACTGTACTAATGACACTGGGCAAGGAGTGGTTAACATCTGGGGCGATCAAAGAGTTCACTGTGTGCTGTTTTACATTATGTGCAATGTGTGTTTTACTAGGCAGACATGCTGCTTTGTATTTCTCTGCTGTGCAGAGAAATACAAAGCAGCATGTCCTTGCTGGCAGGCGAGAGACCTGTGATGTTTACACACAGGTCTCTCTCCTGTCAGCTTGTCCCAACAATCTCCGGGTGCCAGTGAGGAATCTCCAGCCGGGACCCGGAGATTAACATCCCTAGCCACCAATGGCGGCCCGGGTAGTGTGGCACATGCGTGAGCTCCCTAACCGGAAATGCAAATCACGTATATATATGTAATTTTGCACAACCCTGCCACCCTGTAGCAGTAGTTCTACTATAGGGCAGCGGGGGAAAGCACTTAAATTGTTAGCTCATCTTTTCAGAAAAAAATTAAAACGTGAACTAATCCACTAAAACCCCTCAGTCCCAGCTGTACTTACCTCCCATGGGTGATGCACAGTTGATGACTTCACAAGCAGTGAAGCGGTCCAGGGATTTAAAATCCCCACTATTCTCCCTCTTCATTCTCTAGGGCTTCTGGGAAGGCTAAAAGCGCTTCTGTCTGTTGCTGACCAATAAGTGGTGCTCTGAGCCATTCATACAATAAAAAGTAGTTTGTAATGCTGACCAATCAGAAGTTATCCCAAAAACTTGCAGAGTTAAGAGGGAGAAGAGCAGAGATTTTAAATCCCTGGACCACACGCTGGATATGTGGGCACTGACAACTAATCACCCATGGAGGTAAGCAAAACATGGATCTGGTGGTGGGGCGGGTGTAGGGTGTTAGTTCACCTATTAATGTTTTCTGAAACCATGAACTAAAACTTTAAAGTGTTTAGGGGAAAGTTTATATTGAGTTTCATTTAAAGAGCTCATTTAGGAGTTACTGTATATCTAATGCTGCAGTTAAACATTAAAGTGTTACTAAACCCAGGTCACTACATTCACTTTATCTGGTCTCCCACATTACACAGAACACAGAAATGCAATTATTTTAGTAAATATAAACTGCTACATACCTTTTCTCATCAGCAGTATATAGCAGTCTTGAGACTTCTATCAGTGTCCTGCCAAGCTCTAGTTAAAACTTGTAGGAGGAGTTTTCATTCTCCTCTGACTGTCCTATGAGGCTGCATGACCCCTGACCCTCTGTCTGGACAATACTTATTGGTCCTGTGCCGATCATATGCACCCTCCCAAAAAAGAAGCTCTTTAGCAGTACATACCAAACAGAGTGCCTCCATGTGCAGAGTGCCTCCTAGGGCTCTGTACTACCAGCAGATGGATTGGGGACAGTAGAAGGAGAAGACCAGAGAAGACAGGATCAAACAACCTTTTTTACACAATGCGGTGGATTAACCCCTTAGGTTCCACAGTGAGTATAACAAGCATGCTTTACTGCATATACAGACTGATTTTACTGTTGTGGGTTTAGTAACACTACTGTTAAGAAATAGTTATGTGTTCAGGTAGGAGAAGGTTAAGTGTTAGAAGGAGCTCATGTTGCATGTGATTAAAAATGAATTGTGTTTCTTAGTGTGGACGGTATGGGAGGGAAAAAACTACACTAAGCATACTGGACCCTAGAACTAGTAGGGTTTTCTGACACTGAAAACAAATGTTTCATCTGGATATATGCTATACTACCTGAGGATAAAACCTGATACCTGAGGATATATGCCAAAGGAAAAGGGGTATGGGGAAGAGCAGGGCTACTTTTCACTGATATGCAGAGTAAAGAATCGGTAGTTTGCTTTTCTTTATAATGGATAATCTCTTTTATTTACATTCTTTTTTTTGCCACATAAATATGACAAATGTACATGATAACCCCTTTTAAAAGAAAATGAGATTAACCAGTGACTGGTCTTTATTTCAACAGAAACATGATGAAATGGTGAGCAAGACAAGAAACGTATCTGGTGTATATCAGGTGCCATAAAACAGGTTACCTAATCCAAATTATGTTTTTATTCACAGATTTTATTGCACCAATTTGGAAAAAACTCATAGCACTTAAATGGTCCTTTGCTATGCAGTTTAAGAAAAATGAAAGTGACTAGTATATTACAACCTTATGCTATGTCTGCATTTTCAAACATTTTCAGTGTAAACATTTTTACAAACTGGTCCTTTATAGTACAGGGTTATATGCAGCAATATAAATTAGTGTGTTTTATATGAGTCAACTGTACAGAGAAAATGAGCAATTATATGAGAAACAGGTTCTGTGTTTTCATATAATATACTGTAAGTGAAATAATGAAATGTAACAGCTGTGCGTTGTTGAAACTTGGGGAACATACATACTTCAGTTCTACAGTGTGGTCACAGTGTGGCATGTAGGTGTAACTACACAGAGAAGTGTGGTCAGTTTACGAACTGCAATCTGTTAGATTGAATGTAGCCTGAATGTGTTTCCAAATGCAAAACATACTAAAATAAAATTGACTTGGACTGGATGGAATTTCTGTCTTATTGATGTGAGTGAAATACCTCTAATTGCATGATGGCATCTCTTTCCTAAAAATAATAATTATATTGCACTTTTCCAATGCTTAGATGCGGTGGCTGCATTAATTCTAATTTTTCAGAAGTTTTTTCTTTTTTTCCACCAGGTAATTCTACAAATAACACAATTCCTGGGCTTGGCTACACTCACTCTTTCACTGTTTCTCTGGGATGAGCCATAGTTGTCACCCAGGAATGACTTCAAATGTCTTCACTTATGTCTATTATAAGGGTAATGGAAAGATTACTAGTTTACAGAACAAAGATAATATTGTTTTATGATTTAAGGTCAGCTCACAGGAGAGGACAAGGATACTGGATTCCTTTCAAAAGCAACAGATATTTTTGCTGAAATATTCTTAGCCTGAAAAATTAAAGCTATGCAGCCATGACATCAAGGGCTGGTAACCTGCAATATATATAAATATATACTATATATATATATCTATATATATATCTATATATATCTATATATATAGATATATATATATTCTGTATTGCCAAAAGTATTGGGCTGCCTGCCTTTATATGCACATGAACTTTATTGGCATCCCAGTCTTAGTCCATAGGGTTCAATATTGAGTTGGCCCAGCCTTTGCAGCTATAACAGCTTCAACTCTTCTGGGAAGGCTGTCCACAAGGTTTAGGAGTGTGTCTATGGGAATGTTTGACCATTCTTCCAGAAGTGCATTTGTGAGGTCAGGCACTGATGTCGGACCGGAAGGCCTGGCTCGCAGTCTCTGCTCTAATTCATCCCAAGGGTGTTCTATCGGGTTGAGGTGAGGACTCTGTGCAGTCAAGTTCCTCCACCCCAAACTCGCTCATCCATGTCTTTATGGATCTTGCTTGGTGTACTGCTGCATAGTCATGTTGTAACAGGAAGGGGCCACCCTCAAACTGTTCCCACAAAGTTGGGAGCATGAAATTGTCCAAAATGTCTTGGTATGCTGTCGCCTTAAGAGTTCCCTTCACTGGAACTAAAGGGCCAATCCCAACCCCTCAAAAACATCCTCACACCATAATCCCCCTCCACCAAACTATACACTTGGCACAATACAGTCAGGCAAGTACCGTTCTCCTGGCAACCACCAAACCCAGACATGTCCATCGGATTGCCAGCCAGAGAAGAATTATCCGTCACTCCAGAGAACTCTGCTCTAGAGTCTAGTGGCATCGTGCTTTACACCACTGCATCCAACGCTTTGCATTGGACTTGGTGATGTAAGGCTTGGATGCAGCTGCTTGGCCATAGAAACTCATTCCATGAAGCTCTTTATGCACTGTTGTGCTAATCTGAAGGCCACACGAAGTTTGGAGGTCTTTAGCTATTGACTCTGCAGACAGTTGGCGATTTCTGCGCACTGTGCTCTTCAGCACGCGCTGACCCCGCTCTGCCATTTTACATGACCTACCACTTGGTGGCTGAGTTGCTGTTGTTCCCAGTTGCTTCCACTTTGTTATAATACTACTAACAGTTGACTTTGGAATATTTAGTAGCAAGGACATTTCATGGATGGGCTTGTTGCACAGGTGGCAAGCCATCACGGTAGCACGCTTGAATTCACTGAGCTCCTGAGAGCGACCCATTCTTTCACAAATGTTTGTAGAAGCAGTCTATATACCTTGGTGCTTGATTGTATACACCTGTGGCCATGGAGGTGATTGGAACACCTGAATACAATAATTTGAAGGGTGGGGGCAATACTTTTGGCAATATAGTGTGTGTGTGTATATATATATATATATATATATATATATATATATATATATATATTTTTTGTTCTTGGGTTATGTTTTAGGTTTTGACTCTTTCACTAGAGAACAGAGACCTGGGCAAAAACAACCAACTAGCCCTTTTTATGGTAGGGACAGATTTCTGTAGGAAAAAAGAGAGGCCTACCATCCAATATGTGTCACAGGGGTCACAGTAATTTAGAGCCATAGTGAAGGGTGGGTGTACTTACTGGATATGATTTATTACGTCACAACTTTTCATCTCTTCCAGCTTCCTTTGCAGCATTCTGCACTGAATCACCTGTCATCTGCGAGCTGCAATGAAGGTTGGTGTTGGAAGACTTCCATCTACTACACATTGTGACAAAAGGTGTAACCAGAAAGCATGTACTGTATATATAATTCTGAGCATTTTACACACATGCAGGTCCCAGATTGATGTCTGAATGGTGAACTATCTCCACACAGGTCCAGTAGCCCAACACAATCTATTATTACTGGCCTGGGGAAGATGACCCCTGGTCCTATAGCCTGGTGTCTCTCAGTTACAGATTGTCACTGCTTTTATATTCATGTAATTTTAAGTATATGTTTATATTTTTAAGCATATTTAAGTTAAATATGTGTAGCACCCAGGGGCAGACTGACCATTTGGAAACTCGGGCACTGCCCAAGGGCCCGGGGTCAGTAGGGGGCCCCATGAGATGCCCCTGGTACCTTTTTCATAGGCTTTTTTTAGTTTGGGCAAGGACACAGGGGCCCCATGATTCCCTATTGCCCGGGGGCCCCATGAGTTGTCAGTCCGCCCCTGGTAGCGCACCCTAGGTAGGTGCTAGGATTAGGTAGATTTAGTGCTGACTCACTGTGTTCAGAGGAACTTTATTTTTGTTTGGTAGGTAAATTTAGCTTGTCTCACTGTAACCAGTGTGCCTGTAATAGTTGTGTTAGGTAAAGTTAGTTGTGCTTACTGTAATCAGTGCAGCTGCATGTGATTAGTTAGGTCTGCTCAGTGTTTCAGCTGTTGCTGGTTTGATTGTTTCCTCTGTTTTCCAGAGAACAGTAGAATCCTCTGGAACATAGGTGTGGAGGAAAGTAAATAGCAGTATGAATTATTTATACAGCCCTGGCCAATCCCAGGGAGGGTGGCCTTGAAGGCTGTTGGGAGTCTGTATAAGTACTCTGAGACACAGAGTTTCTGGGTCTTTGCCTGCAGAGTGGAAGTCCAGCCTGGAGGGGTTGCTGCCATGTGCTTGCTGTTCGTGAGGCCTCAGGTGGGTGACTTGAGGGCTTGGATGCTGAAGCTACAGAGAGATGACTAAGGGACTGTCATCTGAAGATCTAGTCTGGTATCACAGGAGAAAGGTGTTGCACGGACGTTGGAAGGAGGCAACCAAATTTCCCTTGACATTTGTGAGTACAGACTGCTGTGAGAGATCTTAGAAACTTTTGGACTACTGCCATACCTTTTTGCTAGACAGTCAGCTGTGTGTTTGTCCAAAGGAGACATCCGCTGATGTGCTGAAGAGCTCAATCTATATAGCTCTATGTCAAGGGACTTTGCTCTAAAGAAAGAGGTCTGCTTTTAACTGCTTCTACTACAAAGCCAAGTGCACAGTTTGCTATTGCAAGGACTTCTGCTATAGTTTTTTCAGAAAAGAGTTTACTGTCCTCAACTTGTATATAGTTCTCTTTTTGGAGTATCCCACTCAATTCCCTCAAACCTATCTCAGTTACTCCAAAAATAAAAAAACAACAAAACGAACCGCCCTAGTTTGTTGTTATTGAGCCAACAAGTGACTGTGATTGTGTGCTTGGCTGTGGGGCAATCTACTGGAAAAAGAACCTGGGCAAATTCCAAGCGGCTATTTTAGGGGTAGCGCTACATATGTATTTGATATGTTTTCACTTTTAAACATCCTCCAGTCAAACAGCCTTCTGCTTTGGATATGCTGGGGTCATGAAACAACCCTGACATTAAAAAGGCATTTATTCATATTCCAACAGACAGAGCAGCCATTTTGGACTTAATACAAATTTTTATTCTAGGAAAATGAATTTTAAGTTCAAGAGTACAAGAACGCCTTTATACAATGGATAATGTGTACAGTGAAATACAGTCTAATGCAAATTAATCACTATAATCTATTGATTTCAAATGAATGCTTTCATTGAATGGTACGGCTAATTCCAGAACTTTAACACACTGACACCATACATTTGATTCCGCAAACTAATTCTATTGCCTGGTTCAGCTTCTGAAATTTATGGTTTGCAATTCACTTGATTGTTGCTGGAACGTCTCTACTGTATTTACGACTTAATACTTGAACTGTGAAAAATGTGACAAGTAGTTTTATGATACTGGTCTTATAAAATGTTCCCGACAGTGGAACATTGTTCGATTGTGCTATCTCCAGAACACACATTGAAATGGTAAAAAGCCTTTGCATTCATCCTTTGTTTACATTGCCTGTGTTTTACTCATTTAAATGAACATCTTAACCACATGAATTCCTTATTTTGTATTTCCAGCATGGAGACAAACCACAAGGTCAGGGGATGCATATGGAAATCAGCTGTCTGTAAAAATACATACTACAAAAACCGGAGATGAAAAGTAGATGTAAACACACGAACTGAATGACATCTAGTTTGATGAAGAACTGCATCATAAACAATAGTCATATTTTTTCAACAAAATACTTGTTTCCAGTTTTTTTTTCTTCTTTTGTTGCATTTCAGTACCACTGATATCCAGCAGCCACTTCATAACTGCATGCACTTGCATAGCATTTCCTCGTGACAACAGCAAACCATGAATGTGTAATATGTGATGAAATGGCCTCTTCCTGCATGTGTGACAGGATGGCAAGGCAAGAGAACAATTTGGAAACTGGGACTGAGTCATAACTGGAAGCACCTGAACAAGGACCTAAATGGCCAGATCTCTAGGTATCTAGGTATTCTATTGATTTTTAATAAAAGCTGCAACTTAAAAATATTGAAAATGCTTAAATTCAATTAACATGTTAAAGTTGATGTGTGAGAGTGTTGTGACTGGGTTTAAATACATATTAAAGAGAAAGTGAAGCCTATATTGTAGTGTTTTCTTAACCACTTCAAGTCCGGACACTTTTACCCCCTTCCAGTCCAGGCCAATTTTCAGCTTTTAGTGCTATCACACTTTGAATGACACTTGCGCGGTCATGTAACACTGTACCCATATGAATTGTTTAGCATTTTTTTGAGAGAGATAACACTTTATTTTGTTGGTATTTATTCACCACTGGGATTTTTATTTTTTTTTGCTATATAAATGAAAAAGTTAAAAAAAATTTGGAAAAAAAGTGTTTTTCTTATAAAATGTTGCAAATAAATAATCTTGCTTCATAAATCTTGGCCACAATTTATTCAGTTATCTTTTTAGTAAAAAAAAATAAATAACCCAAATTAGTTTTTTAGTTTATAACCAAAAATTATAATTTTTTTTAAAAACATTTGACATTTTTATTTTATTTTTTTATATTATTATTTATGTTTTTTTTTTAATATACTGTCACCCTAGCAGTACAGTGTCACCATAGTGACACTGTACTACTTGGTGGAGGGTGATGAAGATTTTTATATTTTTTTTTACACTGATTGCTTTTACACCCATAAAGGCTGTAAAAGCAATCATTTGTATTTCTCTCTGGCTGCGTTCCTGCAGCCATTGAGAAATACTATGAGAGCTGTGATTGGTCACAGCTTGTCACATGGTACAAGGCTGTTGTGAATAGCCTTGTACCATGTGACCTGTGTGATCATTCACAGATTTCACACGTAGTAAGCAATGATGTCAGGAAGTGACATCTTGCTTACTACTATTTATGTGATCACATGACGGGAAGTGGTTTAAGTGTATGTAAAGCCTAAACTTTTTTATATTTTTGTTTTGGATAGAATCTGAGATGTTTAAAGTGGTTCTAAAGTCAGAACTTTTTTTTACCTTAATGCATTCCCTGCATTAAGGTGACAAATATATCAGTAGTTGTATTGCCCCCCACATTGCCATAAATACTTACCTGAGTCCTACCTCTATCTGCAAGGACACTGGTATGTGTTCCTCTCCTCACAAGACACAGAGGCATTGGTTGGTTCTTGCTGCTGTCAATCAAATCCTGTGAGAATGGAGCAAGTTGCAGGGCCAAACCACACTTTGCCTCTCTATGGACAAACACAGCCTGGATTGGGAGACAGCCCACAGGTGTGCCCCCATAGCAAGTGGCTTGCTATGGGGGTGCACACAGAAGAGGAGGAGCCAAGAATGTCAGAGGGGGACCCCAGAAGAGGAGAATCTGGGTCACTCTGTGCAACACAATTGCACAGAGCAGGTAAGTATAACATGGTTATTATTTTAGCAAAAAAAAATTAAGCTTTACAACCACTTTATGGCAATCTGTGTCCTTACTACAAAAAGCAATAGGAGATTTGAGATAGACAAGACATGAAGTGAAGTAAATAAATCAAATCTAACAAGGGTCTTAAAAGATAACTTTACTTAAGAACAATTGATTTTGCCAGAAATGTAATATCTTTCTGACTTCCTGTGAGCTGCACTAACATAAATAAAAAACAATGTTTTCTTCTGTAAACTACCAATGTTTCCAGTGGTCTCAAAACTGAGGCCCAGGGACATATGTGGCCCTTTGCTTGCTTTTATGTGGCCCTTTTGGCTAGGGGCGGACTGACAACTCATGGGGCCTCCGGGCAATAGGGGATCATGGGGCCCCTGTGTCCTTGCCCAAACTCAAAAAAGCCTATGAAAAAGGTACCAGGGGCATCTAATGGGGTGTCCTACTGATCCCAGGCCCTCGGGCGGTGCCCGAGTTTCCAAATGGTCACCAACAGTGGGGAATAGTTCCTGCCACAGACCCCAACAACGGAGCACTATTCCTCCCCTAATACCGAAGATGGGGCGCAGTTTACTCCCAATGACACCAGGATATTTTC